AATTGTGTCGCGCTTGCTTCTGCAATAATGTGCAGGCTTCGAAAAACCAAAGCGTCGGCATTGCACTACAGGATTTCTACTGTACTGTCGAAGCTGACAACTAAATCCTCGTTCAGCGAGAAAAGTTAAAGCGTTTTCTAACCAAATGCGTCTTCCCTGTTTGTCTGGCACTCAAAGGTATCAAAATACCTTTGATCGACATGTGTCAATAATACTGGTCTAGCCCAGCCAATCACGAGTTCCGTTCGCTGGCGAACGGAGGTTTTCAAAATCCAGGGGTTTGTCTGCAAGTGTTTCTTTCCTTCCCCTCTCCCACCCCCTTCATTCTTTTTTTTGGTTCTCGCCCCATTTTCCGCGCAGACAAAATACCGAAAATCCCGTTCCTCGGTCTTTCTTTGCTTCCAAACCCCACGGAAACGCTTGCTACGCAGGCTAAGGGGCTTATATTCAAGGGGACTTATAAAAACCAGCCCAGAAATGAGCTGTAGCAGTGTTGATCAAAATGTGTTTTTTATTTACTGGTTTATAATTAGCTTTAAAATGTCATAATATAAGCAATTTCTGTGACAGTGCTTAACATCAACTCAAACAAGGAAAACTGGAGGTGCAGCGGGGGGGCACTTAGAATCGAATGTATTTTTCTGGTTTACAGGTAGAGGGGCCTATAACCAGGGCAGGGGGTGGGGTTACAGTATAAGCACGATGGCTTATAAGGAACAGTCTAACAGCATGTCATTTAAACTAGTGTTTTAAAAAGGTTGTTTAGGAGAAAACAAACTTTTGTTTTGCTGTCAAGTTTAGCTTGAAGAAAGTCTCTTATAATCTCTTAATTAAAACTGTGTGCAGCAAGGATGCACAATGGGCTAAATAGTACAAGTTCATGAGCTGTGTACTATATTGGCTGCATACATGATTGAAGTTTGTGGCCTACAGGAATGAGCCTCTGGTGTAACACCATAACGTACACGAGGGATGGAACGTTCGAACTCCAGCTTACCTGGAAAATGACAGATCCTCCTAACATGCTGGCTTTGAAAGTTGTCATGTTGTGTTTGTGGTCTACTTCAGGGCTCTCCCATGAAATATTCTTAGCTTGAAATAAATGTTTTGTGATAATTCCTTTAACATCAGTATAGAACAGCTCATCTTTAGGATCCTGAAATTCATAAATGGCTGGAATAACAAATGCAGTGATGTATTTGCTTTTCTCTGAAAAATGAATTCCCTCCTTTGAATCTTCATTTAAAATGTCTGTCCAGTTTACTTTTAAGACAACATCTGTTTTCTCAAAGTAGGCAGCAATGATTGTTGGGGAGCCAATAATGGACCACAGGTAATGAATGACACTTCTGTTATCATCACTCTCTGCAATAACATCAATGATGCTGTGGTTCTTATTCTCACACTTTGAAATATTGAGTGGACATTGATATTCCTTGATGGTTATCTGACAAAAAAACAAAGTATTAAAAATAATGAGCTGTTAAAAGAGAATTGTTACCTTTGTAATCATTATAATTATCACTTCTGACTGGTAGAGCTGTATACTTGAAAGGTCCCAAAGAAACTGTGAGGTCTGGGAACTAAGGACTGGCTGAGGGGAACACTGAGAGTTTTTTAAGTATCTCTGCCATTTTATTGTACAAAATATAAACAAAAAACAGAGTTGACATGGAAAATTAAAGACTGTAAGTTAGCTGTTACACATTAGGTAACTGAAAAATACATACACCATCATTTGAGTTGCAGTAGCATGAGTCAAGTCAAGTAAGAGTCACCCTCTGTTTTACTCTTTTTCTCTTTTTTCCTCACTACATCATAATATTTTCAGTTTTGTTTTTAAGCATACAACTGTTATATGTTCACAAATGAATATCACTGCCACAACCATTGCATTCTGTTGATATGCCGACCTAAAAATAAATTGAAATCTGGGAGATCACCAATTTTATCTTCACCATAATCATCATCATCATCATCATCATCATCACCAGTCCTTGTCCCTCTATGGGACACATAAGACCTTAATTTTATCTTATGAACCCTAAAAAACATTGTCAAAAGTAGAGTTCCACCAATTCAAACAACAATGTAAAAACATAAAAGTATTCCAAATTTTTCCTTGGAAAAATCAACCAAAACAAGTGTGAAAAATGTACTTTGAAGACTTTCCTCCACATACAGGAGACCAAGATATTTGGTCTGTATCCAGTGGACTACCAGATCATCCTGGAGAGTTGATAAAGACGATTCTGGTCAGTTCAGTTTAGCGCTAGGGAGGCAGGGGTGCTATAGTACTGAGAGTGCTCGCTCCTGCCAACATCACCTGGGTTCAAATACTGGGCCCGGAAGTCACACGCGGAAGTCACATGCACACAAATCAAAATTTGGAAAGTGACCTACGTCTTTAGGCTTTTCAGTTTATAATTTTTTTTTTACTTTCCTTTTTCTCCTTTTCTTATCTTTTTGCTACAATTGTTGACCTCCTACTGGGCTTGCTTCCAGTTCAAGAAGAGAATCATCGAGACTGAAAATTCTTACCATGGAGTAGCCAAGTGTAATTGAGGGACATTTTGCTGCAAGTTTATCACTGAAATTTCTAAGCTTTTTTGTGTATATTTCACGCACAAATTTGACCCAATCGCTCTGATCTGGGTATCATTGGAAATATCTTTTCCTGCTGGAAAACTTGAGTATAGGTGATGCCAAATTTGGTCAAAGGTGATGATGTCAGGAGTGGAACAAAGGCCAACCAATCCTCGGTACAGCCGCTTACAGCCGGCACAGGCATCAGTGGATTAATAAAGATTTTTTTCTTTTTTTTTCTCTGCCAAGCTGTTGTCAACAACTATTCAACACGCACTATAAATTCTATGTTGAGTCTTCAATTTCAGTTTATTTCTACATAAACAAAATAGAAGCAGCTGTATTTTCTCAGTTTGTAGAGTATTTGCAGAGTTGATTACATGTACATAACTGAAGAGCTATGGGCCTAAATAAGTAAAAGTTACTTGAAATAAGTCACAGTACCATAACGTTCAAAAGTAGCAACCCGAGAACTTTTTAGTATTGTGAAAGACGTTTTGTTCCAAACACTGTTGTTTTTAACACTTGCACTAAATATTAAATGTACAGCACTGGATGTAACTGAAAAACAGTACTTTAATTAGTAATATTCAGGGAATAGTCATGCAAGTTATTTTAAAATCAGATGAGTGCACTACATGACGCTGACTTGAAATTTCAAGCACAATTGCTCTTTGAATTGAGGTCCAGTTAAAATAAAATAAATCACTTTATTCAAGTGTCATGGTATTTAGCACTGTTATGCTAACTGTGGACACTATAAATGAAGAAACAAATATTGTAAATAGAACTGAAAACTTGTTAAAAATCTCAACTGGTTGGAGGCTGAACAGTTGGCTATTTACAAGATATGGAAGAGTTGAAATCGCGACCACCGAACACAAGTCAACCGAGTGGCAGTGAGAAGAATGAGGTTTATCACATCAATAACAACGTTTGAGATTAAACAAGTCTTTTGAGAACTTCTTTTGAATGAAAAAGTCAGTATTCCTTTCTCAAAAACTGTGGGAACATTAAGAGGGAGACATATGACTGGCATGGGAATGGCCTGGGTATCCAATTACAGATAGCTATTCAATTACAAAAAGTTGAAATTGGATACCTGTAATTGGACACCCATTGATTACATGGCTGATTACATGACAAATAAGTGCTCAGAAACCAAATCACGATCAAGGATTGTGTTATAAATATGACTAAGAGTGTCGTGACCAATATTTTTAGAAATAGAAAACATGTACCGTGTTGCTATCGAGCTATAGAAACACAAGTGGAAGTTTGGGAGAACAAGAAATGCTGTGGGAACATGAGCCGTAGGTGTTTCCACAGCTTTTCCGAGTTCTCCAAAACTTTTCATGATGTGCCCTTGTTAACCACTCGACCATGGGCTGAGCGCGGTTCCTGTTCTACACATGGTTTTTTTAACCGCGCGGCCATGGGCCAAGCGCGGTTCATGGTTTACCCATGGTTTTTTTTCAATTTGTGTGCGAGCAGACCCAAGCTTCCACTCGGCCAAATTTTGAGTCACGCAACCTGTGATGTTTACTCGCCAAAAGCTGTTGAAACATTAATAAATCTC